ACTCGTGGTCTCTGGCCTGCTCAGGATCACGGTCATAAATCCCTCAGCATCCTGAGAGCCAGTTTGGTAAATAGTGGTTAGTGTCAGACTAGGATCTGGGAGATGCAGGTTCGAATCCCCACTCTGCCGTGGAACCATGCTGGGTGGCCTTGGGCCAGTCACACACTTTTCAGCCTAACCTTCCTCACAGAGTTGCTGTGAGGATAACATGGAGGAGAGGAGAATGGTGTAAGCTGCTCTGGGGTCCCCATTGGGGACCCAAATCAAGTACATAAAAGTAAATAGACATGCCTCTTTCTCTGTATCACAGCTTTGCAAATGGCCCCCTAAAAGATGCTCCCAACGTGATCTGTACTCCTCACACAGCGTGGTACAGTGAACAGGCGTCCATTGAATCCCGGGAGGATGCAGCTAAGGAGATTCGGAGAGCCATCACAGGTAACTGGGGAGACTGCTGTTTCTTCCAGGATTACTTCCCTGGATCAGATGTATGCAGCAGGAATTGTCTTGTTTTATTTAAAGTTAGGATTTATTGTGATGGGAGTTCTCTTCCTAATCAATGGAGATGGAATGGAAGTCACTGGATTAGTTCCTTTGATGCCTTAGTTTATTTAGATGCTTTCATTCACCTGTCCCAGATATGGATGCCCAGTGTTTGGAGTCTAGTGTTCACTCTGCACGAAGCAAAGCCTGAGAGGATTTTCTGTTGAATGGATTACTGTCTAATATCTGGCACCTAGAGACTGCAGTCCAAGGATTTTTTTTCTCAAAGCACTGGAGAGCAAATGAGCCATTCTTCTTTGTATGGCACCTTCCAGAGATATTATATGCATATCTCTGTTGTGGGGTGGACTTTTCATTCATTTCTTTGGTAATGTGTTAGAAGTAGGAAGGGATATTTGCTTACTCCAAGTTAGCTTTGGCTTTTTGTGCACAAGTTAGCATTTTGCTTTTCTTGACTTCACCATAGGTCACATACCTGATGCTCTGAGGAACTGTGTTAATAAGGAGTACTTGCTTTTAGCAGCTCAGTGGTCCAGTATTGATCCTGCAACTGTACATCCAGAGCTTAATGGAGCTGCAGCTTACAGGTGAGATGTGTGTGCATTTTTACCAACTGCTTTTTGCACTGTTTATCTATATTTGTCTAGCTGTACATCAGTCCCCTGACTTTCTGGATACAGCCTAGCTTTGTGAGAATTGATCCATCCTTGCGGTGTATCTTTTGTTTGGCAGCAAACTTATTACAAGAAATAAAACATGATTGCTTTTGTAGATGATTGTTCTTGAGCAGAGAATACCAAGCCACTGTCTTTCAGGACCCTTCTACTTCAGATGGGCCACTAGCTAGATCCCTTTTTTGCGATTTTAGCATAGGGACTCATCCGTAAAGCAATGACGACCAAACTTGATCAGCTGGAATATAGTGTTACATAACATCGGCAACCAAATAAATATTACATTTCATAGCTGCTCTAAGCTCATTTTATACTGGTCTTCACTGTTCTTAATTTCTGATGTCATACATTTCATGGATAGTTTTTGAGAAACGACAGCAGGGAATATTCAAGAGGTATTCATAGTGATTTGTAATGATCATGTTTTTTTCTTTTGTAACAGATTTCCTCCAGGAGTAGTGGGAGTAGCAGCCCCGGGGCTGCCAGAGCCTCCAGTAGAGGGGATTGTAACTCATGGCATTCCCTCTGTGTCTCACTCTGCACCCCATACCCCTTCTCCAGGAGAATCAAATAAATTGGAGCCAGACAGAGAAATCTCCACTGATCAGTAGCATCTCTGCTATCTCTTTTCATCCCTCATAAGAAAGCAGGGTGTTATCCTGTTTTAGGACCTATTGTGACACCTCGTGGACTGTTTCCTGTTCATGCTGGGCAGGAGAATGCATTTCATTGTTGGCAAATTCTAGCTCTTGCCTTTAAACAGATATTTTATAACAGATTTAGTTTAAATCTCTTGGTGAATCTCTTTCCTTGTCTGGGGCAAAGAAGCAGTGACTTTTCATCCTTTTGGTAATGTTTAGTTTTATCATGCAAGTTCCCATGCACCTGCCTCCACTGTGATATGCAGAATAGCACCTGGCTGAATATGAGATCTCCAGTGATTCCAGAACAGGACTGGTGTGGATTCTTAAGGTGACTTCTTAAACTGAAGATCAGCTAAGAACTCAGGTACAAGTGACAAAGATCATCATAGTGGGAAAGAAGAGCTGTGGGTTTACCTGTTGCTTACTAGGAATAAGGGGACCCTCTTTCTCAGTTTTGGGCACTTACTGCTTTGATCCTGCCTGTATACTGTTAACAGCTGTAGTTGGTGGGTGACTTGCTTCTAGGGCACTGAGGGTAAGTATTTACAAGAGCCAGAGTAAATTTGAAATTCTGCCTGGAATCTGATTTATGTTCAAAATGTGCAGAAAATTGGTGACATCGTTTTGACAGTCAAGATGCTTGTTAAGTCACAAGAAGGAAGGTTTGATTAAGATTTGAGCCCAGCTCAGGGAATGAGAGCTCAACTCCACATAAGAAAGGAGGCGATTCAGAACTCTAGGCTTAAGGTTGTGTAATGCCCATTCTTGCACACTAGTAATACAACTTTGCTTAAAAAAAAGTTTATACTGAAATTCTAGATATTAGGCCCTCTCTGACCTCTTTCCAATCTACTTTAAAGGCCCAGCTAGAATTGTTCCCTCTGGCTTTGTCTAGTGTGAAATGTCCCAGGTGTCTGTGCTGGATTTTTATGTTCTTCAACCCTTTTCTCTGAATCGAGTCCTCCTTGCCATGTAAAAAAAAAAAAAAAAGAGGGGGAGAAAGCAACAAAATTCATTCTCTGAGCTTGCAGATAGCCACACAATTGTCTTGGAAAACTTAGTTGAGCTATTGCAGTTTCTAATGTTTTTCTTTCTAGGGTGTTTTTAAAGGAATCATTTGAACTATATTTGGAAGCAGAATTAAGGTTAAGTTGTCTTTTGTGGAGGGAAATTGCTTACTTCCTGGTACAGTATATATTTCATTATGAAACAAAATATTTATTATTATTGGAGGATAGCCTTGTCATGATGGGTGGGTGTATTTCACAGAAGTGTTTGACAAAGAAAAAAAATTTCTTAAAGCAACCTATTTGAGCATACAACTGACAAAGGAACTTGGGAATGGAGAATGAGAATTGTTCTTAGAATCCAGTTCCTGCCTCTCCCCAACCCCCTTCCCGAACAAAAGAGCAGCCAGTCAGCCCGAAACTGTGGTGTAGAAATCCCAACTTGGATCTGTATTTACAACTGAAAAGTGAACAGGATAGCATGTTCCCAGGTTTCCAACTCTTCTACTGACTGCCTGTAAATGTTTTTCCCCTCCACTGCCAAGTGCAAACAGATAGGGGGTGCAATTCCTTTAAACTGAGAATGAGCTGCAAGGAAGAAAGAAATCTAATTCTGTGTTATTCAAATTTGGTTCTTTCCTTGAGATGGCATATGGTTCCCTGGTAGTATGTGCTTTGCTAGAATGTGAGTTAGAAGTGTTTAATGTATCATAAGTCCTGGTGGGGGGGGGAGGCACAATAGCTTTATAATCCCTTGGATGATTATGACTTTGTTTAAAAGAAAAAAAATCACATACCTCTTTGGTTGCTCAGGGTTTAATCAATATATTAATGGGGGGCACACTAAGTGTGGGGAGCCTTTCTATGAAACATCCAGCTCCAAAGAGCTTTACTTTGGGGCAAAAACAACAAGCTCAATTTTTATGGTTAGAACAGATTTCACACCATCTTAAAAATGGAATGAGACTATTCTTTTGGCTGGTGCAGATACAACACATTGCTGGTCTAGAAATAGGGTTCCCTTTTCCCTGTTACCATGGATTCCAAAAGCTAGGATCAAAGTACGCTCAGATTTATATTGGAGAGGATTAACATTGGTGAAACATAACTCTGAATCAATATTATATCTGCACTGCCCCTTGGAAAGCTGTGTCATTTAATGAGTGTGCTGGCAAGCTGGTTCATATGGGGGAAACACCCAAACTATAAAACGTCAACGCATTTTTGATGCATTTCAAATACCTGTAGTATCTTGCACTACTCCAGAGGGCTGTGTTTATTCTGAGCCATCTCCACCCCAAATCTGCATTTGTAATGAGTAGCATAAAGTTTGCCTCACTGAGACATTTTGCTGTTACCTGAGAGAGCAGGGTAATAGAGGCCTGGAAACTGTAGAGAGAGAGAGTGAAGCAGTACTGTGGAGGAACAACGGAGGACCATGGAGACCTGCCACTCTTCATTTTTACATTTGGAACCTGACTATATGCTGGTCACTCCTTTCCAATTTGTTGCTTACAGTCATATAAGCAGAAAGGTTCTTAAAAGATGAAAGCGAAGCTTCTCAGGATACCGATTCTGTGTTTGTTTGATGTTCTTGTGCATATGCAGAATATGCATTGCCCCAGGGTATGAAGAAAGATGCCTCCCTGCTACTCATGTTTTTTACCCTACTTGGAGATACTAATGTATTTCGCTGGCCAATGCAATTTAACAAATTATGTGGCTTTAAAACTGCTGCTTAAGTTCTGGCAACCCATGGGTTGAGCATCCCTGCAGTAGAGAAACAGGAAGTTGATTGCCTTGGTGTCAAATTGCATTATAAGCAGAGTACATCAATAACTCAACCTCTTCAACTTGCTCCTGGCAATTCCTGTCTTCTATTTGTAAGTTTTCCAGTTGAGGGCCCTAGTTGTGGGATTGCTTGGAGTTAATTCATCTATATCCAGTTTCAGGGAATAATTATAAGATACACTTACTTAAGGTGGCTCTCATATATAAGTAAGCAAACTTTTTTTTTACACATGAATACCTCTAAGGACTTATCAGGTAAAACCTCCATAAGGAGAGAAATTGGGAAAATCCCAGGTGGCTAGCATGTTAAGAAACCATGCTAGTTATTTTATTAGAAATGTGTACTTAACAATGGTAACAATTGTGTCAGGCTCTGGATGCTGGTGAACATGGTTTTAAGCCTTAAGCCCTCAAAAATAACCAGTATTACCCAAGTTTAATTTGGGAATTAAAATGACTTTGAAACTACCAGAGTGACATTATTTGAGGATCCAGAGCAGAAGGCTCCTTCGCTAATACCAAGCATCTGTTCCAGAAAGCAGGGTTGGCCAGGTGCTCATGAAAGTGCTCTGATTGCACATAACAGTATATTGTTGCTTAGAACTTGCAGTTCCCACAAGAAGGTGTGAGTCTTGGATACTAGTCCCTCTCCTGATACCAGATGTTGGTGCAGGGAGCGCTTCTTGTGTGTGCAGATGTGCAGTGTCTTGCTCCAGATTTTATGCATGCTGGGGAAGAAAGAAACAAGAGTCTTATTTTTAAATTGCTTTCCTTCAGAATTAAAGTGGAGCTTAATCCCAAAGAGCAGTAGTCTTTTCCTAATGTTGAGGTGGCAGGAGTACCCTGGGTCATGCCAAGCTTATGTGCAGGAGGAGCTCACTCTGTCCTAAGGTATATTCTGCTTGTCAGGTTTGCTGTTGCTGACCAGCTTTTTTTTATAGAGGACTCAGAGTTTCAGAAATATATTTTTGTAGACAAATAACTAAACTGTGAAACTTAAAAAAGATAAAGCATGTAAAAGCATTTCCAACAATGTTTCCTGTACAGATGTTTCTCCCTTCAACTCTCTCCTGGCTTTTGTTAGAAGTTTGACAGTTTCTTGAATATATTTTAATAAATATTTCCTTTATTGTCATATGGGTTGTCTTTTGCTTTTCAGTGGGTTAGCCCAGCCATGCCATACTGCTTCAGCCAACAAAACAGTCTTGTAGATCTTAAGTTCATTGTGGCAGAAAGTTTTTTGAACCCCTCAGATGCATTGGGGGAGGGTTTCTAATCAGTGAGAAGTAGATATACACAGGAGTACAATCAGAAGGGGTAATTATGAAGAGAAGCCAAATAGCCCTACATTCTAACACATAGCTGTGCCACATTACATTGCATAGCACAAATGAAAACAGGAATGTTTTAGTTTTTTGTGCTGTCCCTACAATGTATTTGATTGCTGATTATGCAAAAATCTCATCATCCTAAAATGGACTATCTGTGCAATTTGTACATCTGATACATTTGGTTTGTTACAAGGTAAAGATGGCAACCCTAAGGCAGTGAGATGACTCTATCATGCTGTGGGCCTGAAAGCCATGATCTAAATACAAAGTCCTAAGAGTTGGTGTATCAAAACTTGTATGCCACAAAGAACCACCAAGGCACTGAAAATTCTATAATTACTAGAGTTGGTATAATACTATACTTGGTATGTAGTATAATCTAAAACTGGAGATAGGAAGCTGCGTAGGTACTCAGTTACTTTAGTTCCATTGTGCTTGTAATGGTAACATTGCAAAACACTTTTAAAAGTTGGCAAGAAATTCAAAATAATACTCTCATCAGAAGCCAAGCTATCTTTGAAGGGAAACACTATAGTTTGCAGTTAACAATCATATGGCATGTGAAAAAGGATAGAGAAATGTCTATATTTAATAGCTGTTTTTTCCTCATCTGTATAACATGTTGTAAATACTGCACACGCACACACACACCAATACTTCTAGCACTGCTACAATGCTTAGGTGACTGGTAACACAGGAATACTTGAAGCTACTAGATGCTGAATCAGAATTGTCTTCCAAGGTCAGTATTGTCTACTGTAATTGGTGGAGGCACACCAGGTTCTCAGAAGGGGACAAACTGCTTAGAACTACGTGGCCTACCACTTCTAGACCTGACATCTGCCTTCTGGGGCTGCTAGAATTGGGCCTGGCTGTGTTGGTCAAGTGGATCTTGTAATAAAAGAGGTAATAAACACCTCTTTCTGGGAGTGTGTAGCTCCAATTGCCTTGGAAGAGGCAGTCATGAAACCCCTACTGAAGAAGGCATCCTTGGAACCCACTAATCTAAACTGACACCATCTGTTGGCCAACATTCCTTTTTTTGCCAAGGTGCTTAAGTGAGCAGTGGCTATACAGCTTCAGGCAGTCTTGAAGGCAATTGGAATGGCTCAGCAATGGTCTTGGTTACCCTGACTGAACTTCAACAAGAAAGTGATGGGTTTGTCTCTGCTGATTCTCCTGGACTTCTCAGCAGCTTTCAACCATGGTATCCTGGAGAGGTTGGCTGGGCTATGTGTAGGGGGGAACCATGCTTTGGTGGTTCTGCTATTACTTCAGTGACCAGTTCCAAAAGGTGGCACTGGAGGACTGCTGTTCAGTCCTATGGCATATATGCAATGGGGTCCTGCAGGGATTCATGTGCCCCCCAACTGCTGGGAGAGGTCATCCAGGGATTTGGAGTAAGTTGCTACCAATGTGCAGATGACACCCATCCCTATTCTCTTTAACTGCTGAGTCAGGTGGGTCTGTGGAAGTTGACTGGTCACTAGAGAAGGTAATGCAATGGATGAAGGCTAGTAAACAAGTTCAAGCCAGACAAGACTGAGGTGCTACTGGATCAATGGAGAAGCTGCTGGAAGATTGAGGGGTCAGTCTGTCCTGAATGGAGTTGCACTCGCCCTTCATAAGCAGATTTATTTATTACTCCATTTTATTTTCATCATAATTCTCTGAAGTAGGTTAGGCTAATAATGTGATTAACCTGAGGTCACCGATCAAGCATCTATGATAGAGTGGGGATTTGAACCTGTATCCTGGATTCTAGTATGTCACTCAAACTGCTACACCATTCTGGGGCATGAACCTTCTGCATGTAAAATTACTGAATAGTGAAAGTACAGAAAGTAGTTCTTTGGAGCTCATGTTTAAATAACAAATGATTTGCACTAGGTACATGGGAGTCAA